CACACACACACACACACACACACACACACACACACACACACACACACCCAATCCAGGCAAACAACCTTGGACATGGGATTGTTTTAGAGTGATGTGGGATTGTTTTAGAGTGATGTGCAGGATGACAGGGAAAGAACAGACCACCATGAAGACTGATGATAAGGGAATGTCACCCATGCTGTGGACATAAGGAAGCCTAAAGAGAAATGATGCTTAAATTGGAAATCAGAGGGTTTATTGAGGTCATTCAATGGCCAGTGTAGAAACTGGGACTTGGGGAGAGGCGTGCACTTGCCGTGTAAGAGTCCAGAGGAAAGAACAGGGGAGGAGAAAAAGTGCAGCTGTGGTTGGAAACCTCAGACCAGGTATTTGAGCCGTGTGGCGCTGCCAAGCAGCAGGCAGAGTGGAGATATGTGCACATTCTGTTTGTGGGGAGGGAGTACCCTAAGGCTGTGGGGAGCCTCTAGGAAAAAAAGTTGAAATTGGACAAAGCCCTTGAATTTACTCTTTCAAAAGATTAGTCCAACTGTGGAAGAAAGTGGTTTGGAAAGGAGTACAAGTCCCTGTAAGGAAACCATTGATAGTGACTCTAGAGTCAGCTCAGAGACAACATGCTGTCCCTGCAGGAAAATCAGAGTCCATGTGATGTGTTTCTCATTTGTTTATATGTTCCTCTAGACTGTATATTTAAGATCTAGCATCTAAAATGTCTGCTGCATACCTCTTTCTACTCCCATTTACTTAATTCAGATGTTCGCTGTTCTTGCCACAAGTGTTTCCACCTCCTCTACCGTCTTCTAGCCATCATCTAATTCCCTGTCTCTGCTTTCACATCACATGCAGCTGTTAGTCCTTGGAAACACAATAAGTTGCTCCTGAGTGCATCAAAACTATGTCCAAACTCTTCCTCTCTGCTCACAGCCTCTACGCTACTGGCTCCTCCACCCTCTTCCGGTCTCCTCCACCCTCTGAGCTGCTCTCACACTCTCCTACCTCACTTGCTTCCGGGCTCACCAACTCACAAATGTACAGATTTACCAAACCTTTCCCTTAACCCTGAACATCTTCATCTGGCTTACTCTGCAAAGCTCCTGTGCCTCGGATTCATGTCAGGTCCAGGCTCCTCCAGTTCCAGATGTCCCTAATCAGAATTAGTTTTCCTCTCTGCCTAAGTTCCAATCAACCGGTTTGCCCATGTCTTATCTCTTGCTGCAGTGAGCCTCCTATTGAAGTCAGGTTGTCTGGGACACTAGATCTTAAGTTTCTGGGAGGCAAGGAGAACTTTTAGTCATTTCTGTGTTCCATGTATGACTTGACTGTCCTTCCCTATTCGGAAATCAACAAGCATTAGTGAATTCATAGGTAAAATGATTGCACTTCAACACTGAGTACGTTTTAGGCCACATACCCAAACCTCAATATAGCTCTGATAGTCTAGTTTCATCAATTATACAAGACCATTTTGTTAGCAACATTCTTTTATTTCTTAATATGAATAAATGGAGTCTCAAAAAGAATACCAGTTAAAAATTTTACTAAGAAATGATGATTATGTATTGAAAGCTAAAAATTATCCTTTGATAATTATTGAGTCTGGTTGTATGGTAAAGGGTGCGTGTGTGTGTGTGTGTGTGTGTGTGTGTGTGTGTGTGTGTGTTTGTGTGTGTGTGATGCTTAAATCAAACCGATGGCCTCATACACAATAAGTGCATGATCCACCACTGAGCTCCATCCCCGACTCCAACTGTGCACCTGTCTCTGAATATTCAACCGTGAATAAGACAGATCATTGTTCTGGAAACATTTAACACATGATTTCATGAGGTGGGGGAATTCTCCATTTATAGAAGAATATGCATTTAGTAAACTGGAAACAAATTATTCAGCCTTTCATTAAGATGCTATGTGTTATGTGTCTGCAATTACAATGAAAAAGGGAACTGTGAATTGAAGGAGAGTGGAGAGGGCAATATGAGAGGGTTTGAAGGAAGGAAAGGGAAGGGAAAATAGTTATTGAAATGCAATCTCAAAAATAAACAACAGAAACGAGTCTATTTGCCATCTAAATCAGTAGTGGGAAAAGTAGTTTGAAGGTCAATGTCAAACACAAGTGCCCATGGTAGCCATGTTCCCATTATATTAAAAGTATGAAAGTAGAAAGATTGCTCGGTTGCTGTTGATTGGCATTTGTCTAAGCTGTGGTTATTACCATCATTTTACATATTCTTTTTCTCTGACTTCAATGAAGCCTGAGCCAGGAAGTTTATAACTTTCTTCTCAGTGTTGCTTTTCTTGTTGAGCTTGGAAGCACCCATAGAAGTGTTAATCCATAATAACTACATTTATTGAATTCCAATATGTATTCATCATTGTATAGGACACTGCAGATATGAAAATTTTAATTCATGCTCTCAAACAGATTCCGGAAGTAATAGCTTATAAAAAATTGTATTGTTCCAAGAGAAACATTAGGAATATCTTTCTGAAGAAAATACTTTTATAGGAAACCTTGGTATATTTTCATTTTCAAAGTTAATTTAAAACAACATTAGTGGATATACTAGATTTTTCTGAGATAAGAGTGAGTGCTAACGGAAAGCAGCATCAATTTTCAAAACACCCCAGGTTAAGGCAGGGAATATGAGAGAGGCCTTTGGTAGGCAAACATAAATTGCTCGAAAAAATTATAATTGGAAAACTTAAGGAATACTCTCCATGTTTCTCTGTATGCGTGTATGAAGAAAGATCTATAGCTTCAAATCTAACTAGCTTTTGCTTGTTTGTCTTTCGAAACCTTTTCTAAGAATCGCCCTTGTGGAGAACATTCCTGAAGGCCTTAACTACTCTGAAGATGCCCCGTTTCACCTGCCGCTTTTCCACGGCTGGATGAACTTACTCAACATGGCCAAAAAATCAGTTGACATAGTATCTTCCCATTGGGATCTTAACCACACCCACCCATCAGCATGTCAGGTAAGCCATATCCTCTATGACTGTGGTGGTTTTATGTGCATTTTACACTCCTTTCTGTCTTTACCCTCCACATGACCAGACCAGCTCAGCTTTCAAACTCCACCTTCCCCCAGAGATCATGGGCACTTATGTGTTTATATGTTTGGGTAGATGTTCCATTGCTAGCTGTCACATTCGGGTGTTACAAGCACTCCAGTCTTTCTCAGGGAAAAATCATGTTTCATCTTTGTCTACAAGAGGCTCTCTGTACAGTGCTGCTAAACACCATGGGTCTTAGGATGCCACCCACATAACTAGCACCTTTCAACACACAGCCTAGAATTCTGCTGCATGTAGTATGTAGGATTACACATCTATTTGCCTTCTGAGACATGTATTTGGTGAAAGTATGTCAGACAATTCCCCTACAAGGCCTCTGAGTTAACTTTTTTAAATAGTGAAGTCAAACTTCCCAGGACCATTTTATACTTTTAACTCTGTCGTTGTTGGGTAGATAAGAAAAAGATAAATTCTGAATTAAATAGTCTGAAGTAAAAATGGGAAAAAATCCTTGCAAGTTTTAATATTTTTTTATTTATAATTGGTAAAACCATGGTGGTTTGCATTGAGCTCCTATCCATGTATATGACCATTGGCCCATATTTAAATATCCTTTATTTATCAGGGATCATGGGTCAAATTAATTTTGTTGCTTGGGATACAAATCATGTTGACAGAACTTATCATCACTATATATTGCTGTCCTGAAATCTGTTATTCATCAAATTATACCACTCTGACTATTTTTAAGTAATGGATATAAGAAAATAAGTAGAAACAAACCAAAATTACAATGGTCATACTACAGTCTTTGAGTAAATTTATTAAATTACATTATGTTCACTGTGTTCCCTCCTTCGGCCATTTAAGTGTTTTGGGTTTTACTGTTACATAATCTGTCACCCACAATTTAGTGACTGGAAAAACAAAGATCATTTACTTATTTCTGGTTTGGGGTAGGGCTTCACAGCCAGTAATTTATGTAGTTATTGGGGGATTGAGTATCCAAGACCAGAGGATCCAGGATGAATAGAATATAATCAGCATCTCAACTGAGATGTGGAGAGGCTGGCTCGCTCACTAGTCTCTCTTAGAATGCTGTAAATGGTCTTGAGCTCTCTATATTGTTGTTGGATCCATAAAAGAAAAAGAACAGAAGCTCAGAGGCCTGATTACCTGGAGCCTGGCATTCCAGATTACTGCATCCATCACTTATTGGCTTAAACAAGTCATATAGACACAAGGTGAGAGGAGACACATCCAGGAACTGAGTGGACCAGTTGGTTGCCATCTTTGGAAATGAGATACCACAGACCACTTCCTGTCCACAGCAAGTCATTCTCTTCCACATGCAAAACACAAATGGTTGCATTCCTCGAAATGCAATCGAACCCATGGCGTAAAAGGCTCGCTGCCTGGACCTTCATGCAAGCTTCTCTTGTTTTGGAAACACATGGGCTTAAAAGACTGTTCATATGCCCTCATGACACTCCAACACACTGTGTTAAGGCAGAGATGAGGTGATCATGGGCACTTGTGTTCAAAAGGAAAGGAGGGCACACCCGTCATTAGTCTGCAGTGAGGCCAGATCCAGCATAGCACATAGCTTGAGTTTGACAGCCTTAGAAGCAGGAATGTGTTCTAGGATCTAGTTTTGCCTATTTCAATTGCTCATTTGTGTTTTGTTTGTTTGTTTAGAGACAGGGTCTCTCTAGGTAGCCCTGGCCGTCCTGGAACTTGCTTTGCAGATCAGACTGGCCTTGAATTCACTGAGGTTTCCCTGTCTCTATGTACCAAATGCTGGAATTCAAGTCATGTGCCACCATGATCATGCTATAACAAGTAGTTCTCCAACCTGATCATCTCATAAGCTGTGTTGTGCTGGGAATGGAACCCAGGGCCTCGTGCATGCCTGGAAAGTATTCTCCTGTGGAAGAACCACATTCTCAGTTCATATTCTTTTACCATAAGACACAGATCAAGTTTCCTGTATGTTCTTTGTGATGATGACAGATTTTGTTTACTTTGGTTTTTTGGGAGAGAGTGTTGTATAGCTTAGGCTCCCCTCAAACCTGCTGTGTAGCCAAAGTGATCTTGAATGTCTGGTCCTCTTGCCTTTACCCTTCAAGTGAAGGAATTGTTACCATAAGCCACTACATCTACTCAGTGCTGTGGATTGAACCCAGGGCCTCAAGCATGGTAGGCAATCACTCTACCAGCTGAGCCACTTCTTCTGCCCTCTTTTCTCTCTTTTAAAGAAACTGTCATATATTTAATGGAAAATAACCTAACATGACAGTTATTCCTAAACTGACAGAGCCTGTGAAGTACTCAAGGGGACCATAAACAGCAGAGGGATGAACAGGACGTGTAACCCTATCTATTTATTACAACGCAGCTGTAAGCAAAATATATTGAGGAACTGTAGACAGTGGCAGGCACCCAGCTGAGCAGCAGACAGACACAAATAAGCATGGTCTCTTTGATCTGTGTCTCCTCTAGATGAGAGGTGAGCTTCTAGAATGAACGATGGCTGTTATTAGCAAGAGTGATGAATATAGGCTTTACAAAACTATTGCTTGGAATTCAAGATTGGTTAAAAACGCATTATATATCTGTCTCCAAAGGGCTGCGCGTTCTCTCTCTCTCTCTCTCTCTCTCTCTCTCTCTCTCTCTGTGTGTGTGTGTGTGTGTGTGTGTGTGTGTGTGTGTTTGTGTGCATGTATGTGTGTATGGTTGCATGTGTATATGTGTGCTTGTCTGTGAAAGACCAGAGGTCAACCTCAGGCATCATTCCTTGGCATCTGTATACCTTGTTTATGAAAACAGGTCACCTCAACGATGAATAGGCTGGACTGTTGGGCCAGTGAGCCCCGGGGATCTGCTTTTGTCTTTTTCCCCCAGCACTGGATTTACAATGGGCTCCACCATGCCCAGATTTTCATGTGAGTCCTGGGGACTGAGCATAGGCCATCACATTTATACCAAAAGCACTCACAGAGCTGTCTCCAAGCTCCAAAGATGCTGTTTTGATTCCCACTCTAACCCCCCTGTAACATGAGGGCTGGCTTGTTGAGGTTTCTGTCCCACCCAGTACCCCAAAGCCGGCAACTCCCAAGGAAAATCACACACAGGACTCCATAAGATTATAAACTGATTGGCCCATTGGGTCAGGCTTCTTATTAGTCCTTGTAACTTATATTAATCCATTATCATTATCTATGTTAGCCATAATGGCTCAGTACCTTTTCCAGCGGGGGCAGCTTACATGTTGCTTCTTCAGTGATCTGCGCAGGAGTGGCTGAGTAAGTTTCCTCCTCCCTAGCCTTCTCCTATTCTCATTGCCCTGCCTCCACTTCCTGTCTGGTTGACCCACCTATACTTCCTGCCTGGCCAATCAGCGTTTTATTAAAATATGATTGACAGAATACAGACAATTCTCCCACACCCCCCCCCCATTTTGTCCTCCCTATATCTCACTGGGGTCATTAACTTTTGTGTGTGTTGCCTCCTGTGCTTTGCACTGCATGAAGGCCCAGTTGAGGGCTAGCGGAGCCTACAGTGCCATGGACACCATACCTTACAATTAGTGAAAATGCTTGGTCAGGAAAAGAGAATTTTTTTCTTTCTGTCAGGATGATGACTTTAATACGATATTAAAATTTACAGATCATTTTGATTGCTAATTTATGAGATTAAATGGTAGGATTTTATGAAATCAAGACTTTTTTTGGGGGAAACCCAGGCCATGTGACTGCTAGAGGCTGATCAGTAGATCTATCTAACCCACGCAGTGAGTGTACCAGTTCTTTCTGTCTTCACTGTGAGGCACCAAATGAAATAATTAATGAGCTGAGACAATGGAATGTAGAAGAGATGCATTTATGCGAAATCAATTAGATGCTGGCGTCCCAGAGAGCTCCCAATTGGCATGATTGCCAACTGATGATACATTGAAATTGTTTGATTTTGGAAAATTTGGATTGTTTTTAAATTACTCAGGATTTGGTGGAGTTAATGAGGAATAAGAGAGCGCAATGATCCAGAAGGTCATTTGCAAAGTACAGCTCGATCCTGTCTCTACACATTAAATGGTTAGCAGAGCTCAGAAAGGATTTGCCTACTTAGCAGCTGTGTGGTCTTGACCAGGATACAGGACTGTCTGGGACTCCATTTTCTCAGCATCAAAGCCAGGGTGATAACAAATAAGGTAGATTAAGTAGAGCCTATGTGTGTGCTCATTGCTATCATAAATATCATCATGTGCACTCGTCCATCTGTGCATGCACCAACAGTCTTGTCCCAGCCAGTTTAATACTGTTAACCAGGAATGAGTTAGAGGCTTCACTCTGGAGGAAACCGGATGATTACATCAGTGAGACCATAGGGAGATGAGGATTAGATAAACTGTCTTGGTGTGCCAAGTTCTGACCTTCACTCTGTTTATTTACATTTTTATGCATGTACACAAACACACACACACTCACACACACACACACACACAAGAAAAAGAGAGAGAGAGAAAGAGAGAGAGAGAGCGAGAGAGTCTTTTTGCCCATCTGTTCATTAGACTTTGATTAACTCACCCATTGAAGAAAACCTTCCCTATCCCTGGTGTTCAGGAGGTCAGGGTCCACCTCAGTTTTGGTAAATATCTGAAACATACACCCACATCAATACCCCCAAAAGCCTTTTTTCTTTTTTTCTTTTTTTAAATTACTTTATAAATAATACCAATCAAAATTCCCACTTCCTCCCCTCCTCTCACTTCCCTCCTGCTTCCCCACACACCATCCCCCCAACCTCCCTCCAGTCCTTGCCTTGTACCAGAGGGCAAGGTACCCTGCCCTGTGGAAAGTTCAAGGCCCTCCCCCTACATCCAGGCTTAGGAAGGTATGCATCCAAATAGACTAAGATCCCAAAAAGCCAGTACATGCAGTAGATACAAATCCCAGTGCCAT